TCAGATCTCTGCTCTACTTCAGGATAAACACTGTGAACTCAACACACTGATGTGAGTATTGGGTTTATTTATTGCTTCACATTTAAAGTATCTTATAGAGATGAGATAAACGGCACAGTGACCAAAAAACAATAATAAAGTACTTTGTAAATTCTCTCCTGTTCATAATTTTAGTCTGCGTAAGTGTGGTCTAACAGAGGAAAGCTGTTCAGCTCTCGCTACAGTCCTGAGATCAAACTCCAGTCTGAAAGTACTTGACATGAGCAACAATAATCTGCAGGATTCAGGAGTGAAGAAACTCCAGAACGGATTAGAAAATACAAACTGCACACTGAAGAAACTCAGGTGAGTTCAATTATCATTCATTGCATGTAACATTTTTTTTTTCATAATAAAATGTATATTTTAACAGTAAGAAATATGTTTTTAATTCTATAAATCACATAATACTTTTTGATCATTATAAAACTTCTTTTTCCAAATAGACTTTCAGACTGCAGTATCACAGAAGAAGGTTATAAAGCTCTGGCTTCAGCTCTGAGATCAAACCCTTCACACCTGATAGATCTGGATCTCAGAGGAAATGATCCTGGACAATCAGGAGTGAAGGAGCTCAGTGATTTACTACAGGATCCAAACTATCAACTGAAGACACTGAGGTGAGATGTGATGAGATGATACAAAATAAATGACATGCAGGCTAAATATTCATACATAATATTATTTCAGTAATACAATAAGCTTGATTTGGTGCATCTGAGGTACTGTGTTGTTGGTGACAAAGTGTTGTGGTATAAGCTACAGTACTGTTTAAATAGACATTATGAGCCACTAAATGTGCTGATACTCAGTAGTTTGTTACTAACTTTTTCTGAATGCACTGTAGTTTAATTTCGATCAAGCCCAGATTCTCAACACTGTCACTCTACAGCAGATCTATGAGTCTCCAGTTCTTCACAAACATGTGGTGTCTTGAAAGATCTTTTGCTCTTCTGCTCCTCATGACATTTGCACTGTTGCATTGTTTCTGTTTTTTGACATCACTGTTTTTTGACATTTGGATGTCAAATAATAATACTTTTTATGTTCAAAGCTTGTCATTAGGAACAATAATGAATTCTGTTTTATCAACATGTTTTGTAAAGCAGTGGACATTTATTTCAGAATTAAAATGAATCCGGCTTTACCTTTTCCAGGTTTTTGAGAAGTCCTGCTGCAGAAGAAGCCTGTCAGTATGTGACTGGAATTGTGGGTAAAAACCCGTTACTCCTGAGAGAACTGAATCTGAGTGAACGTGAACTAGGAGACACACGAGTGAATCAGATCTCTGCTCTGCTGCAGGATAAACACTGTAAACTCAACACACTGATGTGAGTATCTTACATCATTTAACATGTATTTGATAATACTATTTTCTCATTTGTTTGAGCCAGAGGCGTCACAATGTGAAGTATTAAAATTAAACAGGCCATTAAAAACAAATAATTTTCAAAAAATGACAATTAGCTTTTAAACAGTAGGCCAAGTCACTTTGATCATGGGTCATTATTAATTATTTCAGTTACTGTAGAGAGAGAGCAATGGTTTTCTTACAGATCTTACAAACTCTTCAATACAAAAATGCAAAATTTCAACAATTTAGTGCCTGTTTCAGAACAAAGCAAATTAATGATGTATCAACAGATCGGCCTCCAGTCTTTATCGGCTGATGTTCAACTTAATCCTTTAGTCCTGCTTAAATTCAGGGACAGTTTTTATTCATTTATTTTTTTAATTGCAGCAAGCACACATACAGCACTACTTTAATGAAAGAACACTTGATCAGATTAATCTTTAATGTTTGTTGTTCATGTCAGTTCACCATGCGTAATGTTAAGAGATACAACTTTTTATTAAAAAAATGCTGTAGACGTATTGTTCATCATTAGTTCTTGTTAACTAATGTAGTTAACTAAGGAAACCTTACTGTATGTAGCTGGGAACAGCAGACCTAAACATATTTGCCAGTTGAGCGAAAGGAAACATTGACAGAAGAACCGGTCTTAAAAGTGACATGAAGTGAATGCATCTGGAAAGAAGTAATGCTTTACAAAGGAAAATGCTGTTCGAGATCATTTCAAGTGTGACTTTCAGAAGACAAATTACAATCAGGCAAACGATCCAAATCCTCCAAAACCTTAATTGATTTTCATAGATCTGATTCATTGTCTTTTCTCTTTCTGTCTTCAGTCTGTGTGGATGCAGTATTACAGAGAAACAGTGTCTCATCCTGACGTCAGCTCTGTGTTCAAACCTTTCACACCTGAGAGAACTGGACCTGAGTGAGAATAAACTAGAAAACAAAGGAGTGAAGCATGTATCTGAAACACTGAAGGATGTACGCTGTAAACTGGAGAGATTGAGGTCATTAACATTCACATACAAGAAACAAAATGATTCAAATCACTTCCAACTGTTTTTAAACAAAGACACTTTATAGTCTGTATATTGTAAAGAGCCTGAGTATTTTGTGATCTGGTGAAGTCAAGATGATCTCTCTTTCTGTGTCTTTACAGAATGTTTTATTTTCTGCTTTTCTCTTTTCCCCAATATAGGTTAAGAGGCTGTGATATAACAGAAGAAGGTTGTTCTGCTGTGACTTCAGCTCTGAAATCAAACCCATCACATCTGAGAGAACTGGACCTCAGTGTGAATAAACTAGGAGACTCTGGATTTGAAAACCTCGGTGATCTACTGAAGAACCCACAATGCAAGCTGGAAATACTAGCGTTAGTAACATTATACTGTACAGCAGTTACAGTGTGATTAAAAATCATTTATTAGTTAAACAGGCCCAGTTTACAGTATTTAAACTGTAGCACTGCATCTGTACTGCAACTGTATTTCTCTGTTGGTCACACTTAATAATAGGCATCTCTAACTAGGAAATAATTGGGTTTAATGTAAAGTATTTGATAAACTGTACTGGTTGTGTACGTGTTCTGCAGAAATCTGTACAGCTACTCTGTATTACTCTAGCTATTGTATTTCTCTGTTGGTCAAACTTAATAATAGGTGTCTCTAACTAGGAAATAATTTGGTTTAATTTAAAATATTTGATTAAATGTACTGGTTGTGTACATGTTCTGCAGAAATATGATGAGATTCACATTTGCTGCAACAATAGATGAGAGACAAAAAAAAATGTATGTCTAGTTTGTTTTTTTTAATGAATGGGAAGAAAACAACAGTTTCTGGCATTTGGAACTTAAAAACAATTAAAAACAGTTAAACTATGGCAACTAAAGATTATATGGAGGACTATATGCCTAATGTTGCACTTTTATAAGATGCCATCGAGAATCTGAACCTTTGTCTTTCTTTTTCTGTCTTCAGTCTGTGTAAATGCAGTATTAAAGAGAAGCAGTGTGTCTTCCTGACTTCAGCTCTGAAATCAAACCCATCACACCTGAGAGAGCTGGACCTCAGTGGAAATGAACTTAAACACACAAGAGTGAATAAATTGTATGATATACTGAAGGATCCATGCTGTAAACTGGAGAGATTGAGGTGAGGAACATTCACGTACAACAAACAATTTAGTGTTTTGGTATATTAATGAAACAGAATGAAAAAAATATATATATTTGTCTCATTTCTCTGAATGCAGGTTAAGGTCTTGTGATATAAAAGCTGAAGATTGTTCAGCTCTGACTTCAGCTCTGAAATCAAACCCATCACACCTGAGAGAGCTGGACCTCAGTGGAAATGAACTTAAACACACAAGAGTGAATAAATTGTATGATATACTGAAGGATCCATGCTGTAAACTGGAGAGATTGAGGTGAGGAACATTCACGTACAACAAACAATTTAGTGTTTTGGTATATTAATGAAACAGAATGAAAAAAATATATATATTTGTCTCATTTCTCTGAATGCAGGTTAAGGTCTTGTGATATAAAAGCTGAAGATTGTTCAGCTCTGACTTCAGCTCTGAAATCAAACCCATCACACCTGAGAGAGCTGGACCTGAGTGGGAATGAAATAGGACAATCGAGAGTGGAAAACCTCGGTGATCTACTGATGAACCCACAATGCACGCTGGAGAAACTAGCGTTAGTAATATTATACTGTACAGCAGTTACAGTGTGATTAAAGTATATTATATTATGAGCTAATGGACTGATGGTTCAGTATTTCTGTCAGCAGAAATATTTATATGCTGAAATCTGACAAAACTTTGCTGCAAAATGAGACAGAAGTGAGCGGACAAAAACTTGCATGACAATAGATTATTCTGACAAGAGTTAAATGGTTTCTATAACACTGATGGTGCTTTTCACTAAATCTAAAATGGGTCATGAAATGCATGTGTCTGGAGGTTAGCTTATGAAGTTAGCAATGTTTTTTTTCCCCCCAGAAGTTTGTAAATGTTTGTCAAATTGATAATTTTCTATCCTCATTTTAACTTTGTCAAAAACACTCTGATTCGGTGGGTGTTACGATTTCAGAAACGCAAGTAGACGTCCACTACTTGTGATTTATAATAGCAACAGTAACAAACTACACCAGCATGCAGTAAATTTAACTTGACTACGCTTTCTTCACTTAATATACTTTTATTCCATTTAAAACTGAAAGAACAGTAAACTACACTAAAATGGCTTTAAATTGAGATTGTGATTTTTCTCACATTAAGAATGTGAAAATAGTCCATTGAAATGTTTCAGTCAGTTCTACATTTATAATTCACAAAATCAGATCTGCATTTATAACATATATGTATTTATATATATTTGACTGAGTGATGATTGTCTAAACTTGGGTTGAATCTAATATCCTCAAATCCTGGTTAGTAATTGGTTTATAGTTCTATAATATATATAATATAATCTATAATAATATTTTCATGCTTCTGCTGGTGTATTAGTGTGATATATGACATTTAGTTATGATGCATTTAACTCACACATGAACTTAACATGGATCTGAGTCATTGTCTTTTCTCTTGTCTTCAGTCTGTGTAGATGCAGTATTACAGAGAAACAGTGTCTCATCCTGACTTCAGCTCTGAAATCAAACCCATCACTCCTGAGAAAACTGGACCTCAGTCAGAATAAAATAGAAAACACAGGAGTGAATCACTTATGTGACGTACTGAAGGATTCACGCTGTAAACTGGAGAGATTGAGGTGAGGAACATGCTTAAAATCATTTCAACTTTGCAATTTAACTATAACACTTTTACTCAATATCTCACAAAGAGTCTGAGTTCACGTTATATTTGTGGAAAATAATTCCTGTTGTGTTTTATGGTTTGATGGAAATAGGGTGTGAAATAAACACCTGACAGGTACCAAACACATGACAAACACGGGTGATCATTTCATTACCGATTAGCTTTAAATGTGGACTGTGGCACAAAGAACCTCAGTAACAGTAACATCACTAACAGTCATGAAGAAATGTGTAACTACAAGATACTTTTTAAAGATGGCAGAGGCCACAGAGTGAACAACAGCGGGGTAACAGTATCAGCCAAACTGCCCGAAGTACATGTGCCTCAAACCAGACAGTGTATAAGCAACGGAGTGCAAAAAAGGCAATTAGTTTAATGCAAGAAATGATGTTTGTGATAAGAGTAACTGTAATGATATTATAACATTAACAGAAAATAACATTGATAAGCTGCAGAAGAGTGAATGTGTTCCTGCAGAATCTTCTTTCTCTGACACTTCGATTGGGCTTTTATTTTTCTTTATTATGTAGAATTTGTTGATTTTTAAACTGCCCTGCTTCCTTCATTTATATTTTAAAACATCAGGCAGCTTCTGTTGGTCAATACTGTGAATTTCTCTGTCAGATTTGAACTCAATACAAAAGTCATCATGTGGGGAAATAAATTGTACATTTTAAAAGTAAATGCATCGGTCTGGTGCTCTTTCAGGGAAAATGAAGAAGCTGGATCTGTTAAGAGTTTTGTGAGGTTTTTTTTCTCTTTTTTTGGCCATATAAATAACAACTGCACCAAACTGCTAATTTTTGCTCCGTTTGGAATCAAATTGAGCTGTTTCTCCTCCTCAAGTATGAGCCCCATATTCTCACTATATATTACAGTGTATGAGCCATAAAATTCTGATATATCAAATATGACACAAAACATAAAGCACATGAAAACATTTTTCTTTAATATTTGTCTAAAGGTTAAAAAAAAGTCCATTAAAAAAAAATTATTTCATTATTTCAGTCAAGGTTAATAACACATGTATTATTATTTTTAATATAACAAAAAGAAGTTTGAACATAATGCTTTTGAAAATACAATAAAATAGTACGCAAAAATGGGGGGGGGGGGGGGATGCGGGATTCCCAATTATTTTATATTTTTATTATTTGAGTATTTAGTGTTGTTTGATAAACACCAAAACTAATACAAAAATCTGAATGGCTGATTGAAAACATGTAAATATGTTTGACTTCCTTCTCTGTGAAAGGTGCATGTCAGGAACAGAAAGTAGTGCAGTCTGCTTTGTTTATGGGGTTTTCCAGAGAAACCTCTGTTCCACGAGCACCATCTACTGTCAGAGAGTGAACTGCAGATTCATTCAGTCTGTCTCCTTCACTCACAGCGGTTCACTGAAGCAACAGTGCAAGTTTATGTTAATGAGAACTTTCAAATATGTTTGGTTCATTATCAAACTGAGGTGGGACAAATTAGACTATGGCGGGCCACCATAGTTTAAATAATTAATGGGAAACACTGTGAATTTCTCTGCCACTGGAAATCCATTAATGAAATATTCGGGGTTTCTTGAGCACCATCTACTGTCAGAGAGTGAACTGCAGATTCATTCAGTCTGTCTCCTTCACTCACAGCGGTTCACTGAAGCAACAGTGCAAGTTTATGTTAATGAGAACTTTCAAATATGTTTGGTTCATTATCAAACTGAGGTGGGACAAATTAGACTATGGCGGGCCACCATAGTTTAAATAATTAATGGGAAACACTGTGAATTTCTCTGCCACTGGAAATCCATTAATGAAATATTCCTCATCACATGGTTTCTCATTGAAGTGACTGTGATTTTGCCTAGAAAATGATGCTAAGAAATGACAAACATGACTGTGACCTCTGGGTTAATATCACACTCTGGGTTAATATCACACTCTGGGTTAATATCACACTCTGGGTTAAAGGGAAAATAATGTTCTTCCTCTGTCTGCTTGTCTTTCTCTTTCTAGTCTAAATGACTGTGGCATTACAGATGTTGCTTGTTTTGCTCAGTCTTTGGCTGAAACAAAAGTACTGCAGTTTTTAAAAGAGCTTGATCTGAGTAAAAATAAAATAGGAGACTCCAAGAACAAGCTCAGTGATGTGCTACGAGACTCAAACTGTAAACTGAGGTGAGAAAACATCCTTCTGTCGCAGACACACTAACACAAACAGACAAACATCATGTACATTTTTAAAATGTATTATATTTAAAAAATAAAATAAAACAAATATTTTTGTTACAGTCTACTTTGTACTAATTAAAATATAGTAACTAATTTTCAACTTGTTCCACTCAACACTGTTGTTCTCTTCTGGTTCCTCCTTACAGCCTGGAGAAAGAACAACCGCTCTGGAGGGCAGGTGTAAACTACATTAGTGGATGGTTTACTCGGTCTAAAGCTCCGGAGGATCCTGTGAAATCAACAGAACAAGAAAAGTCACCGTCAGATGAGGAATCTTCAGAAGGTTCTCACTATAGTACTGATATAAATCCAGCTCAAGAGGATCCTGTGAAATCAACAGAACAAGAAAAGTCACCGTCAGATGAGGAATCTTCAGAAGGTTCTCACTATAGTACTGATATAAATCCAGCTCAAGAGGATCCTGTGAAATCAACAGAACAAGAAAAGTCACCGTCAGATGAGGAATCTTCAGAAGGTTCTCACTATAGTACTGATATAAATCCAGCTCAAGAGGAACCTGTGAAATCAACGGAACAAGGAAAGTATATTACTATTTAAAAATGATTACTAAAGCATACAGGTGGAAGAAGATTAGACCTTCAAATGAAATAATGCAGCATTATTAGAAACACATGTACACATGAGTAATGTTGAATGCTTTATTGTATGTTTGTATTTATCTGAATGCTATTTTGCATGTTTTACAGGTGAAACAGAGGAGGGAGACGAGGCTCATGAGCGCGCAAAAGAGGTGGATTAGTAAGAATACAAGTCTGTGATATAAGACCTTCATCATAATGATGTCAAGATTAAACTCATCCATAATGAAGCAATTAAAATATTGCTGATCATGACTGTGAATGTAATTTAGCACTTATACATCAAATGACAAACTGAAAGTCTAAAATGAAAATTAAATTATTATGGGCTACATGTACACAGATTCAAATCAGTGATCTATAATGGAGTCATTTTTAGAGATCAGTGGTCCTGTGTCGTATTTATATTTCTTTATACCATTGTTTATTTTACATTTATGTATGTTTCACATTACATTTCTCTTACATTTTATATACAGACTGTTTGTTTAAATGTGTTTTTGTAAGTTCTGTGTCTGTCTCATGAGAAACATGTCTCTGTACATAAGACAAAGCTTTGACTGAAGACAGAGATGTGGATGAATCTGTTCTCTCACACCGGCGCACACTGATCTTTACTAGTTAGAATTTATGTAGCACGTTATGTGCTTTCAATCACTAGATTTTTTTGTTTAGTGATTTTAATCTTCTCTTGTATTGTATTGTAATGTGTTGGCATATTGTAACTATACAAATAAAAAACTTGATTATTTTATTTAGTTTGAAGAGTTCATTAGTGCAATAGCCTATGGAAAGCCGTTGTAACATTTAATCTATAAGCCATACTAGTATCTGTTTCCATGGTACTAGTACTTATTTTTTAGATACTAATATCTTTTCCATTAAGTACTAGTACTTATTCATTAGCTACTAGTGCTTATTATTTAGCTACTAGTGTTTATTCTTTGGGTACTAGTGTTTATTCTTTGGGTACTAGTGTATTTTGTAAAGTTACTAGTACTTATTCATTAGATACTAGTACTTATTCCAATAGTGACTAGTATTTAATTATACTCTTCTTGTTAAGAAAAAATAGAACTAGTACTTATTTTTTAGTTACTAGTAACCTTTTAGACCAGAGATATCCTGAACTTAATAGATACTAGTACTTTTTAAATGAGCATTTCTGCCCAGTATGGTAATCGTATGTTGAATATTAATGAGCCAGCAACATATAGGAGAGAGATTACACAAGAAACAGAAACAAGAAGATGGATGTATTTTTTTTGAGGAAACCACATAGAAAAGAATCAATTATTTGTACACAAGCACATAGAAAACGTATTTTTGTCAGTTTTGTAAACACTGTCATTTCGTTAACATAGTAGCCTAATGTTTTGTTTGGTCATCGAGTGACCTCTAGTGGCAGGATGGAGATAAGACACCAATTTTTTTTCCCTATGTTATTTTCCTATTTTTCCTCCAGTAAAAACAATAAATATCATACCAGGGCTGTATGGTAACTTATTTTGCATATAGCACTGGTGCTGCAGACACTGAATGTGTTTACACTAAAGGGGTCATGTGATGCTTTTTTAAAGATTTAAAGCTTTATTTTATGTATTTGGTGTAACAGAATATGTTGACATGCTTTAATGTTCAAAAAACACTTTATTTTTCAAATACTGTACATTATTGTAGGTCCTCTATGCCCCGCCTCTCTCAAACGCTTTGTTTTCTACAAAGTCCCTCCCCTGCTAACACACGACGTAACAGTTACGTAACGTATTCGTAATTTTTGGTAATTTTGTGACTTACCAACAGACAACGTAATGGATTGAGACAATAACAAAAAGTCAGTTGACTAATTTTAAATGCATGGGTATCGGCTTATCACGTACAAATGAAGTTCATTGTATTTATGCTAACATTTTTAAATTAAGTGTACTTAGTTAAGTTTACCTATTTCATACATAAATGGTGCATAAGACACAGAAACCACAAACCACAGAAACTCTCTTATTAACATATTTAATTTACCATAACACAATAGTACTTCACACCACACAAAAAAACAAACAAAGTATAGTCACTGATTTATGATATGTAATTCTCAAAATGCCTAAATACTACAGCAGCGGAGGACATTATCAATTAATATGTCTTAAAAGAACAGTGGTGAAAAACAAACCAGAACAAATTAATACAAATATTCAAGTTCAAAGGACAATCTAAGGAAGGAAAAATCTAATCAGCTCACTGCAAAAGAAGATAGGAGACAAGTAAGTACCTTTAGCTTGACAGGCTGGAATATTGTTTAGTTTGACTGGCCTGTTATTTATTATTTTACAATTTGCATGCTTGCTGGTATTGAATTTAAGGTTATGGCCACACAAACGTCACACTATTTCACAGCAAATAAAGACTTAACATTCAATAACTTCTTTTTCTTTTTCTTTTAGAAATCCAAGCTTTGTAGATGAAAACTGGAGACATGGTTTTAAAAATAACATTACATTTTTAAATGTCATAAGGCAAGCCTACAAGGCTTAATTTAACGCACAGAAATAAGACTGTGTATGTTTAAGCGCCTTCTGTGTTGATCTTGATGCATTGCAATATTGAGCTGTTCAATTTTATTTCTTATTTAGAAATAAAGAAATAAACAGGATGGTTCTCTTAAATTTCTTGTTTTACTAACATGTATCTTTTAGAGGGTTTGGAGAATTCATTATGAGTCAAACACTTGAGTACTGTTAAAACAACCTGTCTGAATAATCAAGTTTGTTTGGCTGGAAAGTGTGCAATTAACTTTTATGAATAAACTGATAACAAAAACACATCAACACTTTGATTACTAAAATATCTTCACTACTGAATTGCAAAATTATTTTTCTCAGCAACGAGGGGGTAACACAATTAAACTCACAGCGTCGTCGTTAGACGAGAGACGCTGAACTGATGCAATCATGCATCTCTCTTTTTCTCTCTCAATAATTACTTCAAATAAATGCTATAATTCATTCATTCATTCAAATAATAATACACATTACTTTATTTTCTGTGCCTGATTCAAAGTGGACAGAATGGTAGATCTAATGAGCCATAACTGACAAAAAAACCACAACAAACAACCCAGTTGACCCTCCGCTCAAATATTGTGCTGCAAACATCAATATCAGCTTTAAGTTGTCATTGCTGACAAATGAGCATGGAACCAGTGGGAATAATCCACGGCTAGCTGTGCATTAAAGGAATAGTCTATCCTAAAATGAAAAGCAATTTACTGTTTTAATTCCCTATGCCTCTCTTTCTTTTATGGATAACAAATGGATATAAAAAAAAAAAATTCTGCTCACTCTCATCTGTATAATGGCAGTGAATAGCGACCAGGGAATATGTTCTGGGGGAATATGATATGAAATTTTATGCATTTAATGAAAATCCTGATATTGGCCTTTGGTCATGGTCCATAAAATAAAGAAGGCCATACAGCATTAGATCAACACCAGGGTGAGTAAATGATTTCAGTCGATGTATGTGCTCCACATTCATTTCACATGAACAACTGTTCGTATATAAATGTGTTGCTAACATCACATTTCCTCATGTGTTGGTGTGCTACAGTATGGCTATCTCTTTTTTCATACTGTACTATTGAAGTCAGTGTGGTCAACAGAGCAAAGAAACTCATTCAGGTTTAGAACAACTTGTGGTGAGCAAATGACAGAATTTTCTTTTTTACAACCTGCACCAATATAAATACAATAGTGGAGTTAGGTCAGTGTTTATATCAACATCCTAAACCATAAAATGGTGGTTTGTCCTGGAATAAAATCCTGGAATGACCTATTCTACAGCAGGTATAAACAATCTGGTCCCATCGTTTGGGAAATTGATAGAAATGTTATTTTTCCAACATTTGGCCTAATTTCATAATTAGACATTTTTAAATTTTTATTTTGTAAGACTCCAATACAATTATGAAGTAATAATTTTATGACAAATAAATATTTCAGTGAGTAAAACTGTCTATAGTATTAAACACTACACAACATTGTTATTTTAAATTGTCCCTGGATCAGTAGGGAACTCTTGTAATAAAGTTGCGGTCTCTGGAGAGACCTAAAAATGGCTGTCCACCAACGTTTACCATGTCAACAATTCTGTGTTTTTCTGTCAATATGGTATATTTTTCTGTGTCTACATTAATGAGGAAAAAAATTTACTTAAATTATTTTAGCAAATGGCTGCAATATAACAAAGAGTGAAAAATTTAAGGGGGTCTGAATACTTTCCGTACCCACTGTATATTAGATTTTTCCAAACACAAATGGCGTATTAATGAGAGGTAAAATGCTTAAATGAATGTGTGTGGCAGGAATATCTGGACGTGTTGGGCCGCCTCATGGTTCTGGCAGGAAGAAGTGCCAAGCAGGTGCAATGGACCAACGTCTATCAGGACGCGCTGGTGAGAGTCGCTTCACCGCCTGCTGTGTGTGAAACATACGGCCCGCTCTGGTTTCGTCATACTCTGATGCCTCATAAAGCATTGTGAGTTTATTGAGTTTGTGTGATGTGGTTCATTTACAGGGTCTGGGGCTGGTGGTGACGGGGACGATGCCGGTGTTCAACCTCACTGTGGACGGAAACTCTCAGGTGATGCTCAGTCACTGATGGATCAGCACTGACTATGAACTCCGTTGTGTTCATATCATTGATGTCAGTGTTTGTGTGTTCAGAATCAGCTGATTTTAGGGGTGATGGGAGTCGATGTTCATCTGGATGAGCTGAAGAGACTCACGCCACAATACAAGGTGAACTTTATCACACTGAAAAACCTGTGATTGTTACATTGAGCTACGTGAACATTTTCATTGTCAGATTTTGTGTGGCTTTTGAGTAAATGTTGTTAAAAAAAATTATATTTAATGCATTTATTATAAGCAATTTTGTATATGTTTATGTATATAAATTAGGTAAACATACTTACTATTAGTTGCACGTACACATATATTCACACAATCCTTAAAACGGGGCATTTCTAATGAATTAAACTTATTAACTATTGACTATTAACACATCTACACATCCAGCCTCAATATATACTACAATATATAATACTGTCTTGTATTCCACTCTGCAGAAAGTTTTGGAACAGTCCAAATCACGAACACCGGCGGGAGGGTTCGGAAGAGTTCACTTTCGAGGGGTGGCCTTTCTTACAGTGGGAAAGTAAAATGATCTTTCATCTTCTCTGTGTTTGTCTCTTTCTAGTCTTAATGACTGTGCCATTACAGATGTTTCTTCTTTAACTCCGTCTTTGACAAACACAAAAGCACTGGTGTTTCTTAAAGAGCTTGATCTGAGTAACAGTAACATTGGAAACTCAAAGCAGCAGCTCATTGATGTACTGCGAGACACAAACTGTAAACTGAGGTGAGTAAACATCACTTGGTTGCATTCACCCTAACATGAACAGCCAAATATATGAATACAATTTGTGTTTTAAATGTTATATTTAAAACATTATTATTGTTTTAGAAATATATGTACGACAAATAGTTTTAAATGTGTAACTAATAAAAAACATTGGCTTACTAGGTGCACTGGTGAAAACTTCATTGGGAACTTTGGTGGACGGATTACATCT